GAACCCGAATGCCAGCTACTGACCTTGCTCCCGATTGGACCGGCTCAACTCTTTTCTCTCATCCCATCCAAAATTTTCCGTGTTTTATGTAATTATTTCGAATATATATTTCTTAGTCGTGTCAAGCAACTCCCCGGACGTTATGTTTCAAACTCAGATCCCTCAGTTCTCAAGCATATTACATCGATAAACATAATCTCGAGTTTTTAATGTAACATATCTAGTTACTTATACAGTAACAAAGACCATAAGAACATGTGATATACTTTGTACGAACTATTAGTTTTACGTATTGTTTTTATTTTGAAATAACAATCTAAATATATAACTACTGCTTGGTGAAAATTTTCCCTGATTATTTACTAGAATGTGCACCAGTATTTACTTTCTATTTTGACTCGCGTATAATCACGTGACTTTGCAACATTTCAATATTGGAAAAAAATAAATTTATACTTTTTTATTATTTAATATATTTTTCTATAGATACAAAAAGGCTACATAATAGAATGTGGCAATGTTAACTCAATAACGCAGTTTGTAACAGTTGAATAAACTCCTCTCAACAATAATAATGACGTGAATTGTAAGAGACGAACACATCGAGTGAATAGAAGTTTATGAATTTATTTTTACAATATGTTGTTGGAAAATGGTGTCAATGATCTTTTATATCCATATGTTTTACGATTGATGATAATACATTTTCATATAACACATACAATTGTAAGAATCTACAACAAAATTTAATACTTAAAATTTATGCAAAAAACACATTTTAAAAAGAATTTCCAGGAAGAGATTCTCCGTGGCAACGTAGTAAAGCAATATATTAGATTTTAGCTAAAGAAACTTAAAGTTTTAATTGAACTTTGACTTAAAACAAGGATGCCAACACGCATTGTTACTGTATATGAGCAAATTCTATATAAAGTACTATTGCAAACGGCCTTATAAACATTCATATTCAAGAGGCCGTTAATACATAGAAAATGATAAATGGAAATAATTCCACAATGAAAAAACTCTCTCTATTTGTTGCTCTCTTTGCAATGATAATTGTTGTTAGTCTCCAATTGCCTAATGCATTCCTCCTTTACCCGTCTATGGAAAGAAGACAATATTTTGAGGGTGAAGCATTTTTGTGTACTATTCATATTGATTTAGTTTTTATATTGTTTATAGCAGGAATTGCATGTTCATTGTTGTTATCAGCGATTGTATTGTTCGTTGCTCACAAGGAATTCGAACATCTGCTGAATGAACTCTTTCTAATAAAGAAAACTAACAAATTCGTGGAAAAGAAATTGAAGGAATTTATGTGGGATCACGAAGAATTGTGGACATTCGTCAATCAGTTAAACACAAAGTTTAATTTTTTCCTTTGCTTACTTTATTTCGGTGTCATCTGGATCACAAGTTTCTGGTTTTACGGATATTTATTCATAAAAATGCATGAATTAGGGCAATTCTTGTTTCTAGGAATGTCCATCATTTTTACATTATTTTGTATATATTTTGGCAGTTTATTGTGCTGTTTTGCATTCACGGTAAATCTTTATTCGTGTTTTACTCATTTAATTTGTATTCTTTGGTTTAGATTATTTAGATTATAAATATTATTTCGTATTTTATATTACTATATATTAAATATAATTTTAAGTATCAATTTTCGTTTTGTTTTTCCTGTCTTTAGATGCAGAATGCATTTCAAGATATCTCTCAATTTGCTGTATCGAAATTAAAACTGGAACAGAAACTACAGGTATTATTTGTATTATTTTTTAATTTATTCAAAATGAAGTAAATGCCAGAGATATTTAAAGTCTTTATATTAGACCTGTAATACTTTCTAAATTTAGAATGATGAATTTTGTTGTGTCCCCTCTGAGTTTATTTAGATTATTGATGTTTTATGATGACTCCTGTCAGTTTTCGCAAAGATCTGACAAATTCGCAGGGTACTGAATATGGGTGACTTCTCTTTTACCGCGAGTATATGCACAATTATTCAAGAACGTGTCTAAAGTAATTATAAGTATATTTCTTTTTACATATTAACAAATTAATTTTTGCTAAGCTTTAATCTATATACATTTCGATAATTCGCATATTCCTAGTATTATATAAAGTATATATCCAAATATTATATATTTCTATNAAATTCCAAAGTTTTATTTGAAAAACATACTCCAGAATATGATATTTTCATGAAAGTACCCCAAAACCCAAAATAATTGTCTTCATAAGGAAAATGATAGGCATCTTCCCCCGAATCACTATACAAAACTTTATTTATTTCCCCCAAACATATTTATGTAGCTAAAATTAGTTTTAACTAATGTTAAAAGTTAAAACTAGTTTTATCTAAAATCAAAACATATACAGCAGTACATTAACTAGACAAAATCAGTTTTGTCTAGTTAAAAGTAGAATTTACTGTTAGTCAAAGATGAATTTGAGTTAAAACTAGTTTTACCTAGACAAAACTGGTTTTAACAAAGACATCCAGTATAAACTAGTTTCAACTTGTTAAAGTGCGTTCTAACTAAAAACTGGTTTTGACTGCAACATATACATTTACAATTTTAATTCACTTCTGCCAGTAATTGTACAAAGTGGAAATGTTTTAACATAAATTTCGCATAATATCAATGCATTTATATATTCATTCACAAATATTTTTTAGTAGTTATTATCTTGTTCCTAAAAAATAAATATTTGAATATATTACTTTCAAAAATACGTCCATTAATGTAGTTTGTAACGCAACTCCGTCATAAAGTACTGATGATTGTAACCACTTAATAGACATTATGCAATATAAAACTGGTTACAAAAGTAATAATTAAAAAATAAATCGATAATCTACCTAAACAAGTCAGAGAATATTTGCTTGAATGGCAGCATCTAAATGCGTTAAAAATTAAACGAGTTTTGTGCCTTTAGTTCTACAATGAGTACAGATAATGCGGACTAAAGAATGACAAGATTTCTAGTTTGACTTTACGTCCATGTGAATTATTTTTTTAAAAATTATTCAAAGAGAAAACAAGACTCAAACATTGTTTGTATTACCTTAATTTCCAATAATGAAAATAAATAACTGAGTTAAAGTAATCCTGGGCTAATATGTAGAATCTTAATGGAATACGCTCATTAGAGAAATGTACTAATGGAGTTACGTTGATAAATCCATTATCAACGTAAACATCTAATAAATGCGATTTCGATGTAACATTTAATTATTTCCTGAGAATACATAAAGAGAACATTAGTGATGTAAGAAAATACACGTGCATAAATAAGAAAATAGCATACAGTAAAAGTATTTATTTCATGAGTAACTGTGCTACAAAGTTGCAGACATGAATTCGAATTTCCAAGACACAATTTGCATGAGCTGTTTTATAGCACCTTGCTGCATGATATCTCTTATTTTCGGGGTAGAGCCGTTTTACTTATGTAACTGTAAAATGGACATTGCCATGTTACAAAAATCTCAACTGAAAAATACTTATACTAAATGTATAAGAATCATTTTGTGGGTACATTCTTGTTTGCTCTTGTTACATGCTACACCGATCGCCAGTAATTATGTAATTTGTAAAGGATGGTTTGATGACCTCACTACTGAAGATTCGATATTGAATACTGTTTTTGGACTTACATTTTTAGCTTATTCAATCTGCCTTAGTTGTTCCCGAAACAACAAATTGAAATTAATAGAAACTGGATTAAAGAACGAATATTTTCGACAGAAAATGATATACGAAAATAATTCCACAATGAGAAAACTCTCTCTATTTGTTACTCTCTTTGCAATGGTAATTATTGTTTGTTTCCAACTGGCTACTGCATTCCTCTATTACCCTGCTATGGAAAGAAGGCAATATTTTGAGGGTGAAGCATTTTTGTGTACTATTCATATTGATTTAGTTTTTATATTGTTTATAGCAGGAATTGCATGTTCATTGTTGTTATCAGCGATTGTATTGTTCGTTGCTCACAAGGAATTCGAACATCTACTGAGTGAACTCTTTCTAATTAAGAAAACTAACAAATTCGTGGAAAAGAAATTGGCGGAATTTATGTGGCATCACGAAGAATTGTGGACATTTGTCAATCAGTTTAACACAAAGTTTAATTCTTTGCTGTGCTTACTTTATTTCGGTGTCATCTGGATCACAAGTTTCTGGTTTTACGCGTATTTATTCATAAAAATGCAAGTATTAGTGCATTTCTTGTGTTTAGGAATGTCTATCATTTTTACATTGTTTTGTATATATTTTGGCAGTTTATTGTGCTGTTTCGCATTCACGGTAAATCTTTATTCGTGTTTTACTCATTTAATTTTTACTCTTTAGTTTAGATTATTTAGATTTTAAATATTATTTTGTCTTTAATATTATTATATATTAGTAATATAATTTTAAGTATCAATTTTCGTTTTGTTTTTCCTGTCTTTAGATGCAGAATGCATTTCAAGATATCTCTCAATTTGCTGTATCGAAATTAAAACTGGAACAGAAACTACAGGTATTATTTGTATTATTTTTTAATTTATTCAAAATGAAGTAAATGCCAGAGATATTTAAAGTCTTTATATTAGACCTGTAATACTTTCTAAATTTAGAATGATGAATTTTGTTGTGTCCCCTCTGAGTTTATTTAGATTATTGATGTTTTATGATGACTCCTGTCAGTTTTCGCAAAGATCTGACAAATTCGCAGGGTACTGAATATGGGTGACTTCTCTTTTACCGCGAGTATATGCACAATTATTCAAGAACGTGTCTAAAGTAATTATAAGTATATTTCTTTTTACATATTAACAAATTAATTTTTGCTAAGCTTTAATCTATATACATTTCGATAATTCGCATATTCCTAGTATTATATAAAGTATATATCCAAATATTATATATTTCTATTATACATATCGAAAAATATCTGAAATGTCGATCTCTATCTGTTTAATCATAAATTGCTTACTCTGTCACGTATCTCATTACAAATTAAGAAAATTAAAAAAAGTTAGACAAAGATTGAGTTTTGAGTGCAAGAGAGGTGCGCAACTGCTCCATAAAGTTTTGGTACTGAATGAGTCGTTGCTATAACTTGGCTATTGGTGTGCAACGGATACGTAATTCCAACACATAAGGTTCATAATCGTTCAATCGTTGCATCGATGTTAGATTTAAGTTGACTTCTCAACAAAAAATTTTGAGAGGGGAATCTCAAGACTCTGTCTGCATAATTTTCTTGGGGAGTAGTCAGATTTTATGTTTTCAATTTGGCTCTTCGAATGCACCTAAAAATGTACACAATTGTGACTGGAAAATTATTCATTCTGTCTGGACTAGCGATTGCGTCTAACTTTATATATTAATTTTGTATCAAATTACAACATGTTTATGGGATATGAAATATACTTTTTATATCGAGTAAATCAAAAAATAAATAAATACATTTTTTTTTACTCAATGAGTAGAAATTCGCTACAACTGTATATATCATTACTCATTACACATTAGACATCGCTCTTATTCAATTCGAATTACAAATTTATTGTAAAATATTCTCTACATATCTGCTCTTGCCTTCCACAGAAAATTTGCAGCTGGACTTCATGCTATACAGTCGCACGCTATTAACGCCGTGTGAAATAGTGAATATTCTAACCTACAATTGGACAAAAATGTGTAATGGGAATTTTGAATTGTATAGCTGAAATCCCGTATGTGTGCAATAATTAATTATTCGATTCTGGGTTTTATAAGCATTTCTTTACTTAAATTTGAAACAATTAACTAAATTACACTGCCAAAACGAAACCTGAATAAATTGAAAACCAGTATAAACGGAAAAAATTCTTCGAAACGGAGCGATATTTTATGTTAAATGGAACCAGTTTAAAACGAAAATTTGTAAAATATTCGATATCGTCAGGTACTATTTTAAACATTTTATACTGTACAGTATATTTTATTTCACCCACGAGAAAGAGCTACGGAAGGAATATTGGTAGAGTTTACCATTTCTATTGAGTACATGCGGTGAATTTTTTAAATGCAGTTTCAACATCGATATTCAAACCAAGCGTTGGCAACCATGCAGCAGTGTTGTGCCGAATTTCAGATATAGTGTTATTTTGGATGCCGACATGACTCTACTAATGTCTGCAATATATAGTATCAACACTGGTCCGGTTATAACGGACTTTAATAATTAATAATTAAAACATCATTTCTAATAATTTATATTCAATCAGAGTGCCACTGAAAATAGTCCTGCGTGCTACGTTTGGTACGTGTGCCATATCTTGCCAACCCTTAATTCAATCTCTTGTACACAACCATAGCTCATTTATCGTATAGTAAATTATATCATACGCAGGCACACAGTACACGCTGTGTACGTCTAACGATTATTAAAATTCAACGGTAATTGAATTTAATAAATAATTATATAGGTATGCGATTTGTGTTATTGTCCTTATTTTACATTATTATCTTTTAGAACAATTTGTAAACTCTATGGTTTATCGGACAGACGAAAACAAAACTGATATATGTGCAGTAAAAATAAGAAATCCTAAAACCCACCTCGGTGTTAAGGCACAATTACAAAATACAATGATTTAAATGGAGAGCTGAATGAACAAGTCTTTAATAGCGCCATTCAGTTTCCTATCCGAATCCGAGTGGCATGTTGAAACTAGTCTTATTTTATATATTCATTTATATAACTAAAATCAACTGGTATAAAATATTAACTTACATTTTATCTCAACATTTTTACATTATTTTGCGTATATTTTCCACAGATTTTCGATTTCATGAAAAGATTCGGGAAAGTTTCATTGTGTATTACGATGGGTGGATTTTTAGTCGTCGATAAGAAAATCCCTCTTAAGGTTGCTATTTCTGTATTACTCTAGATAATTAATAAATTTTACTAATTTTAATGATGCGTGATTTCAGTGATAATTACAAAAGTTTGTTTTTTTCAGATGGCAAAAACGTTGCAATCTGTTTTTTCGGGACTTTTAAAATTAAGAAACGTATCGAATGCGAAGATCCACTGCGACAGCAATTTCACTATTACTTATACTTCTTATAATTGAAAATGTAGAATTTCAAATGTACGAAATAATAATAAATGGAAAGTTTCAGTGTCTTATAATCAATGTGAAAAGAGTATTTTTACCTCAATCGATATTGCGTTAAAGTAATTTTCTGTAATTTAATGGAGAAGCTTATAGTAAAGTTCATACAGTAAATGATAATGTTAACGTATACTCTGATACATTAAATCTATGCATGTGTAGAATTCAAAGAATTGATAAGCACTATTTCTATTATTGATTTTGACCAGTACATATTTATAAAATTTACATATTTCTACTAAAACATGTTGTTCTATAAATAAAAATATATGTTTGTATTGTAGATATGTAGATATGTTAAATCCTGTACGATAGTCTCTCACGTAATTTGCAAATACGATATCACTGACTAAATTTTTAAACAAATTATCATTGATGAAATTCATAATTTTCTAATTCGTTGATTTTATTTTATCCCACAATTAATATTTTTATAGTTTATTGAAAAAAGTTTTTAAACTTTTAAATAATTCTTTGTTTAGTCAGTTAATATTTTTGTATATTATTTTATTCTTCTGGCATCTTGTATTAATAAAAAAGTATTTGTAATATGAATAAAATGTAATTATATGTGAATAATTTTGCTTTTGCATGTGCAAAAAATAAACGTAACAATTACTATGACCAATATCTTTAAAAATATCTAGCAAAGACTTGCGTAAATTTATTAGCTTCTATGAGATTTTATTGTAAAAATAACATTTGTATTATTAATAAAAATTAATAACTAAAATTGCCGTCTGTCATCAGAGTTTTTTGTAAAAAAATTCTATATTTTTAATTATTGTAAAATAGCAAACGACCTAGTTTTAAAGGTAGAGATCAGTTTTCCAAAACACTGATATTGTCAGGAACAAGTAAAATATTTATTAAGTCTGACCCATAGCGATTTATGACACGTTATCGTTCTGCATCTGTTTATCCCCTTGACCATTCATAACAAAAATTTAATTCCATTAATGCCCCTTACACACTAGCTACGTTTTCAAATTTTGTTTGTTTATCTTTACCCTGTCTACACATATTAAACGAAACAGACACCAACACACACACACACACACAATCACACAGACACATCAGAAATCGTGAAATATTTTTGCTATTATTTGACATTTTGGGTTCAGGGTGTTTAAAAACGTTAGACTTCCAAAACGTTCGGATGATTACATTTGGCACGATTATCATACTTTTATACATAACAGCTACGAAAGTGAAATACTTATTAAAACAGGCGGGATATAGAAACACAACATCTTACCCTATTGTTTTTGTAAGAAACTAATTGGAAAACGAAAATTTAATCTAATTATATGAAAACAAACGTAATGTTCAACATTGTCGTAAAGTTCGTTATCAATATAAACTTGACAAAATACAAATTACAAAGCACTAATATTTTATTTCATAAAAGTTTTCTTTTGTATTTCAATATAATTTTAATGATGTTTTATTAGTTTGTAATCAAATTAAACTAACGTACGGCCATGCACTTTATCATTTCAGCCAGAAATACAGTACTTTAAAATTATTACATTTATTACTTTAACCTTCATTTATCCGTGAAGGGCAGAGTGATAGGGACGTGTCTTAATGGAATTTTCTATGCTATCAAATACTTAAAATTTATGTTCGCAATTCTATGTACTTTAGAGAAAGAATTTTCAATAATTTCATCGAGTAATAGATATTATCCATTTATGTAATATAAAATTACATTTTTTTCTCGAATTTTTCGATTATAGTCCTAGTGCAACGAAATAACATTTCTGAGATATATGCATTTAGTAATATGCCAATGGATTAATCCATTAGCGTGTTTCAAATTTTTATTAAAATTGCTTTTAGCGTTATTGCTTTAAAGTTTTAATTTTCTTGCCGTTACCTTGAAAGTTGCATAAATATATAATAACGGTGATATAACAGTTTCTTGTTTAATTTCGTTTATTTTACTAAAATAAGCAGAATGTCTTAAACAATTTTAACAAAATTTCGAAAAAAGAGTAGATTTTCACAATAGTTAATGAAACCATACCATATCGCCCATAAAAAAATTAAGTACTAACAATTTGAAAACTAATTTTTTATACAAAAACAACAAAAAAATTAATTTCGATATTCTACACATTTAATATACGTATTTATAAATTGATCATTTTATAAAATGGCAATAAGTCCTGTGCAGTTATTTGAGAAGAATGGCTCTAAACAAAAAATAAAAGACATCATTCAGAAAGGCTTTAGAAAACAGTTCGTGCAGATGTTTATCTTGAAAATTGCGTATAAAATTCATCACAAATTTATGCCCGATCAACTTGCTTGTTACGTGCAATTTTTCGGGTTTTCTTTACATGTGTAACATCTAAATAGAGGCAGCTTCGTACAGAAAGTGCTCTCGAAAGGTACTGTACACCTCTTGAGAAATTGCTAAAGTGTGAGTTGTCTTATTCCATCAATTCAATTTAACTTAATATTAGTAAAATTTGGAAGTGTTTCGAAAGCAGATTAATAAAGCACTAATGACTTAACACGATATAATTTTTGTTTATACAATTTCTGTACAGTAATAGTTAGAGATTTTTTCGGTATATGGTACGAAATTTACACACTGTATAATTGTAATAAAAACAAGTAACGAGATAACATAGAAACACAAATCGATGTTACGCAAATTTAGATAAAACAGGAAATAAACAGAAATAGAAAGTTTTCTACAAATTTGCAAACATGGATTCGAATTTACAATATTTGCATGACCTGTTTCTTAAGACCTTGCTGGATGATCTCTCTCATCCTCGGATTACAGCCATTTCATATATGTAACTGTAATAAAGACAATGCCATTTTGTATAACTCACAATTGAAAAATACTTATATACATATATATAAGTATATGTATATAATATATATATATATAGACATGTGTAATATTGAAATTTATACATGTGTAATCTTGAAATTTAATAAAAAATAATTATCGTTTATATTAATTGTTTGCATTTTACACGTAATAATTTAGAACTATTTTCCATCAATTGCAATAAGAAATTCGACCATGTAAATATAAACAAATTTCACCAAGGTGATTTGAAATAACAACAAATTCTACAATCGTTTTGAAGAATATTTTACTAATTTATAATTATTACCGATTTTAATACAAAAGAATCAACATCGTGCACTCTGCCTGTTTGTACAGCACTAAGACAATCGCCTACACTGACGAGCCTAGAAAAGTATTTTATAGCGGGACAAGAAATTACCATCCCCATCGTTACTGTAAATTAACTAAAATGTTTTAATGAAAGTAGTCTATATTATTTTATTTACACAAGCAAATACAATATTTATGATATACGAGATTGATAACGTTGCTTTCAGACACCGTATTAGCCCCACAAATATTCCTGTAACTGGTCTAATTTTAATTGTCGGAATGAGCCATTTGTCCCATATTTTTTAACCTGAGTTAAAATTAGGGTTAGGTTTGAATTTTGAGTTATTGCTAAATTCGTATTCACCAACTCTAAATCTAACACTAATAAAACACTAATAATAACTCTAATTATATGGAATGTGCAAGAAGACAATAAACTCTTTTTTAATCACAAAAGACACAGTCTGTCCAAAAATTATTTTTTGAAACCACCATTTATTCTGATCATGTGTTCCAGAACACCTTCGACAATCCGACCTTTCTTTGTAGGCTACTAGGTCGTCAGGCTAAAACATTCTTTAAAAAACACACAGAAATATCCAATTAAAACATTAAAAGTAAAAAATTGGAACTGGCGGCCTTACAGACGTCTTGAACTTGCATCCTTTCCAGTTAGGGAATTTCAGTCCTTATATTCACTTGATAAATGCGCTGTTAAATGTAAATTTTGGCCTTATCCCTCTGGTGACGAATTACTTCTAAAAAAGTTTTGTTTGTAGAATTTCGCCGGATGAAAATTTAGTTTAATCACAAAAGAATTTCTACAAACAAATCTTTTTTTAATTCGTCACCAGAGGGATAAGGCCAAAATTTACATTTAACAGCGCATTTATCAAGTGAATATAAGGACCAAAATTCCCTAACTGGAAAGGATGCAAGTTCAAGACGTCTGTAAGGCCGCTTAGTTCCAATTTTTTACTTTTAATGTTTTAATTGGATATTTTTGTGTGTTTTTTTAAAGAATGTTTTAGCCTGACGACCTAGTAGCCTACAAAGAAAGGTCGGATTGTCGAAGGTGTTCTGGAACACATGATCAGAATAAATGGTGGTTTCAAAAAATAATTTTTGGACAGACTGTGTATTTTGTGATTAAACTAAATATTCATCCGCGAAATTCTACAATAAACTCTGTTTAATGTTCGCGCAAAACAACGTATTTCGAAGAAAATAGTGATATTTGATGAGGACGAAACCGAAATGTTAGAGAATTTAAAATATCTACAATTTAAACGTCGTGTGACCAGAAGGTCTGCACCTGTTTAGTGCCTCGTCGTGACTGATACCAGATGAAAAGGTCACATAAAATGAAGAAGACCGTAAATTATTTTTTCAAGAACAAATTACTTTAGAAGATTGGATGATTATGATTTCTATGTTAATATCATTTGCCAAAAGGGAGTGAGCAAATTTTACTAGACCGAATTGGTCTTAGTTTTTTTTCCACAATACAGTAATTGCACTAAATTATATAGTTGAAATCATTGTTTTGATCTCAATCTAACTCGCTATAACTCGAACTTTTTTGAGATTATATGTACAAAGTCTCATAAGAGTCTGAGTTATATAAATATATTTTAACTTAAGACAGCATTTATTTGTTTATTTTTTATAATATTCCTACAATTGAGTAGTTCCCAAAATTGACGCTACCGATCCCCTCTGAGCAATACGTAACTCTATGGGAGCGAAAAGAACTATAGGCGAAAATTGGGGGTCACTGCAATGGCGGCTCTAGCCAGGTTTTCAGATAGTGCGAGATCTTATTGTGGCGCTTTCCTGTAGAGACTAAACTAATAACGTACATTTTTTACATTACTAATAACTCAGCACTCCGCAAGATTAGTATAATAATATTATTAGTATGGATTTTATAATAATAATAAACACATTATTAGTATTAATATTATGGATGATAAACGATAACGACGGTAAATNATATGATAAATGTAAATAAATTATAAAATATTCAAAATAAAGTAGCAGATAGAATAATGGGAACAATTTTTTTTATTGTATCTTAAATGTTGTTGATTACATTCTTTAAAATTATTCAGATTTGAAAGAGAGAAACTTATTATTTTTTTCCATAATTAAAATAATTGATGTTTCTGCAATAAGACAATTCTTATTCAAGATTAAATAAATGTTACCAGTATCAATATTTGAAGAAGGAAAAAAGTTACAATGTTCAATACTCCTACATTCATTCTTTGAACATATTTAATCAACGACGATAACTACAGTTATTGAAAATGTTTGTCTCTGTTTTTTCCTTTTTTGGAGTTTTTGGTTTTTTCCATTTTTTATTCTATATTTATATCCCATTTCTATATTGTTTATATGTTAATCTTGGAATGGAATAGACACAATGGCCCTTGAGAATGACAATTGTATGCCATTAAAATAAATAAATAATAATTTAGAGAAAATATTTATGCCAGAAAATATATAAATTTTTTTTTCTTATTCAGACATTAACTTTTTCAAAAAATAGTTTACTATATTTAACATTTAACTTACTAGCACAATTCCCCCCCATTGAATTACAAGTCAGTATTCTAATTTACGGAAATTTTTATTTTATTCATAAAACACAAAGTCGACATTGGATTAATGATGAACTTGTATAAACAAGTGCTAAACTCAAAGTGCCAAACTAATAAAAGCTTTCTGAAAAAACAAATGTTTGTTATAGTTTGTTTTTATTATACTTTTGCAAAATTTGAATTTGATAACTTAAAACTTAGATTTCATAGTTTTAAATTAAATGAAAAATATTAATCATTGAAACTGATTGAAAACATTTGTTTTTACATTTTGCTACTGGAATGAAAAAATAGCTTATTTTAGTTACATTTTACTAATTTGGTTGGAGGTTTAGGTTTCATGATATAATGCATTACAAAATCTTTTACATTTCTACCAATAAGAAATAGACTCTTGGTTAACATTTTTGTACAGAATGTCTGATTTTCATGAACGTATTATCAACTATAATATAGGAAACTCCTGCTTCATTTTACATCATGTTAACAAAACTGATGATAAACAAATTTCAACTGACATCTGTATAAATAATAATAATAATAAAATTATTTTTGGAGGATAAAACAAAACAATCTTCAAATGCCTAAAATAGTATTATTTAAGAAAGAAAAAAGAAAAACACTAAGCTATCTATCCATTCAGAAGACTAAAAAAAGTTCCATCAAATAACATTAAATTAATAACACAATTATGTCAACCAAACTAATTTAGTATAAATCAGAACAAACTTTTATAAAATCCTTATTTATATTATTTATAAATACTACATTACCATAATTATATTTTCAGAAAGCTCTGCCAACATGTCTACCGTTTCACAGACTCCATAATCAGTTATGTCAAATGCTTTATTTATGCACTGCTCATAAATTACGGGAAGTTCTTTAAGGGTTACTTGCTTACTTGCTCTTGACTTCAAGATTCGAAGGAGATCGGAAGAAAATCTTTTAATTTGAGCCCGATGAGTGAGTATTAATATACGATTCTGTCCTTGGCCTAAAATCTGAAATTTATAGATGTAAGAAAATTATTAAATGTTATTAATTAATTACTATTTAATTACTTAATTTAATTTTCTCTTCTTATATGTAAATACATTAAAAAAATTTCAGTTGAGTAGTATTTTATACATTTTATCTACCAAAATTACAACATACTTAATACAAGAAAACAAATATAATATTAAACCACGGAATTTTCAATAATAAAACTGATATATGCAAAAATCCTGGAACTCTCAAATGTAGCATTCAAGTTAGACTTACATTTTTCCATATTACATAAAAATTATTAACATGCATTAATTTTTTCATTTTGTAACTTGAACGATGATGTTTAAGATGTAGTGGCATTACTTAGTTCCTTTAGAAAAATCATTCATTGAGCTCATCAATTCCAATATGTGCCAAACTTGATGACTAATTGGTGAGCTGTCACCAATCATTGCTTACACAGGGTAGCCTTCGGGAACATTTTTAGAAAAAGTGACGACTTTAGAAAAACTCAATATTTTTAATAATTATTTTAATTACATAAACGTAAAATATGAATGAAAAACTATGCACGATTAGTAAAATATTATTATTAAATTACTTTATAAAATTAATAATCTTATTTTTCATATAATTGTTTAAACTAATTCAAACTGATTGAAGTGCATCCAATTTTTCATTTTATAAAGGTTAGTTCAATATGTAATAGCCTTCATCTAAATAGATACACAATGAGAGAATGATCCTGGCTGTTATATATAACAGAGTTAAAGTATAGTGATCGGTCAAAAAAAAAAAAAAAATGACTCAATATTTTTACATTTTTGGACACAGGACACCTTCAAACATTGAGAAATGAAAAGAAGTTCAGAGTAAGTATAGATATTAGTCTGTGTGGAGGGCAGATTACTGTCAGATGTGAAAATCAGATTGGACCAATTTAGACATTTTTACTTACATTTATTTTAATTTTTTCTACATAGTAAGTTCATCTAAAATCTATGATATTTCCATACAAATAATTATATTTTAGCTCATACGTGGCACAGTCCGGCAACAGGCCGGATGAACTGATTTCACGAGCCGGATCTCGCCTGTGGGCAGTTTGGTGAGCCAACATACAGGGGCAAGACAATACTAATTTGGTGAGGAGAGAATATAATTTAAATTAAAAATATGATTAAAAATTGCAGCCCACTGTAGTAAAGATGTCACAACAATTACAATTCTTCTTGTGTAAAATTAACATCACTCTTGGTGAAGCAGTGATTTGCCTATAATCCATTAAATTAATTTCATATTTAAAACATGTAAAGCTATGGCTCTGAGTGCATTTGACAGTCAATTGTAGAGATCCTTATAAATTTCAACCATTACTGATATTTGTAAAAAGAATAAAAAATAATTGGCTTTATATTCATGACTGAGGTATTGAAACTAATGATGACATAAGCCCATATTTGACACACAAACTTATTGTCATCATAATGTTCTTGGAGGATGTCTTTTCATAACAATGTTAGTGTAAGTCCATATCAAATATCAAAGATGAGCCAAATGCGAGATTCCTCATGATCTTACTTCTCTTAGCACTCAAATGTATAAACAGTTACTCAAAAGCAAGATAATAGGCTCACACCATCATTGTTTCAATGTTTCTATTATTATAATTCTTTATTTCCTAACTTGGCACTGTAGCCTCCATCTCTTCTTTTTCTAAGATTAATCTGAAATATTTTAATCACAAAAGACACAGTCTGTCCAAAAATTATTATTATTATTATATTTTTTTTTTGAAACCACCATTTATTCTGATCATGTGTTCCAGAACACCTTCGACAACCCGACCTTTCTTTGTAGGCTATTAGGTCGTCAGGCTAAAACATTCTTTAAAAAACACACAAAAATATCCAATTAAAACATTAAAAGTAAAAAATTGGAACTGGCGGCCTTACAGACGTCTTGAACTTGCATCCTTTCCAGTTGGGGAATTTTGGTCCTTATATTCACTTGATAAATGCGCTGTTAAATGTAAATTTTGGCCTTATCCCTCTGGTGACGAATTAAAAAAAGTTTTGTTTGTAGAATTTCGCCGGATAAAAATTTATTTTAATCACAAAAGACACAGTCTGTCCAAAAATTATTATTTTTTTTTTGAAACCACCATTTATTCTGATCATGTGTTCCAGAACACCTTCGACAACCCGACCTTTCTTTGTAGGCTGTGTCTTTTGTGATTAAAATAAATTTTCATCCGGCGAAATTCTACAAATCTGAAATATCTTTTCAGATTAATCTTAAAGTATCGAAAATATGTTAAAAATGATCGATTGTTAAAGTGTGAGAAAATTAACATTTAACCAAGTCCATGGGGAGAATCTAAAAACAATCAAAAGAAATCCTAAACCTGCTAGTCAATTTTTTTTATTTCCCATTGTCCATCGACAACACATTCTGAATATCACCACGACCAAACATCGAATCACCTGACTGAATTCCCACACCTGATAGGGGATGTAATGGCCAACCCAACACCCAACCTTCGAGCCGAATTTCACCAAGACTCCCTTCCCACAATACTTCAGGCAGATTTCCCCCATAGACGGGTGACCACTAACTCCAATGCGATCAGTCCCTAAGGAATATTTTTTAACTTTGTGAATTGTGAAAGTGTCATCCCAGGCCTCCACGGATAATCTACCACAGAAACAATTGATACTATGGCAAAGAGGTATGATGATTACCCAATTTATGTAAACTCTCTCTCTGTCTGTTAGCCAATAAGCAGAAACATGATATCCTAGAATCTTGTCACAAGTTTGTAATCCTATAGTTTGTATTCATTCAGTTTGTAAAAATTCAACAAATTTAATATAATGGTACCTCTTACTCATGTATCGCGGACCCCTATCAGCATATCCACCCACTCATTGATTGAATCCTTGCCATTCTAGCCATCCAGTGACAATTGAGTGGGTTTTACCAACCCGATGCTAATCAAAGGGTTTAGATAATTACTCTAACCTCCAGCTTCTCACAAATAGCTAAAATAACTACTCACTCCAAGGTTTGTATACTATAAAATAAAGAAAAAAGGATAAACTTAATGAAGTAAAAAAAATTGTTACCTGAACAGAATGAGGAACAGCTTCAAGTAAATCAATTAATTTAGTAAATCCATAGTCAGCTACACGGCACTGCCTTCCAAAATGATGGTGATAGGCAGGAATAAACTTATTGAACGGAATTGAACATTTTGGTTGACTTTTCAATAAGTCAATCATCTCTCGACTAAAGAGTGCAAGTTGTCCTGCAAGTGCAGGACTGATGCTACGCATTTCTGAAATTAACACATACAGAAATTTTAATTTTAAAATATACAATTTGA